TTTAAGAATTGGTGTAATATGGTCGTATTTCTTTTTGACGCATAAAATACGGCCAGCAAAATTTTGTACAGCTTGGATTCTATTTAAATTATTTTCAGTGGTGTTACACCATACGTTGGAGCAATAATACATTTTGCTGAAAACTAACGTATTTATCAGGATTTTTTATGTATCTTTGTTGAATGCATGCTTCACACGGTTGATTTGTCCCAGCCTGGACATGCAACTAACAACTGTTGACTCCACATGATCTCTGTATGTAAGGTTTGAGTCAAGCATCACTCCCAAGTCCTTGGCACAATCGACAGCCAGGACCTCTCTTCCCAAGAGTGTCAGACGGAAGTCTCCAACGTTGGCTGTCATTGCTCTACTTCCAAAGATGACAAGATTGGGTTTTTCGGGATTTAGTAAAAGAAAGTTCACAAATGTCCAGTTAGATATTTTACTTAGGTCATCATTAAGCTTACAGATGGCATTTTTTTTATTGTCACGGCTGAACGTCAACAGTAGTTTGGTATCATCCACATAGCATTGAAAAGACAAACTGTTTGTTAGGGCTTTTAAGTCTGGATATTGTTTGAAGAAATATAGTATTTGTGATATTTTAGCCACCAGAGATAAGAAACTATGGATGCACTACCGCCGAGACGTACTAGGCAATTACGCAGCAGGGGCCATGATTATATATTACTTAGAGTTCGCACTTCACGTTTTAAATCCACTTTTGTAAATAGATGTCTTTTTAGCACTGTCTGCCATTAATAGTTAGTTGTATTTTCCATCTTAAACTGTTTTATATATCATTCTTTGTAAATAATGACACGGTTGATGCATTATTGCTTTTAATAAAGACTATTATTATTATTATTATTATTATTATGATACTGCAGTAAATGGTTTGATACTCGAGACGTGATGTCTTATTCTGCAAGCAGTTCAAGTTATTCAAACACATTCCTAGCCTCGGCAGCTACTATTTCTTTGAGATATTTAAATACCCTGTTTTTGAGCAAAGGGCAAATATTCGCTAATATTGGTTTAATTTTTTTCCGAGAATTTCTCTCTTCGAATCATTTAGACCACAAACTAGTTCGACCTATCTAAAATGATTACGTACCATTCGAGTAGCTAGAGGTGAAGTTGCAAAGGGAGATGGATAAAGACGTAATCTACACTTGATTCCAAATATCACCATCTCAACATGCCAAAAATATGCACCGTTGAAAGAGCTAAATGGGGTTCAACGTTTGGTCCAAAACGGCAAGCTTATTGCCTTTTGAGCATCACAGAAAGCACGAGCCAGATGCTAGCTTTCCATTGTCTATATACAGCGCTCCTGGGAGAAATGTCCTAGAATAGCACTAAGAATAGGCCAGTTGTATTTCGAATACCCCACGGTATCTTAGGGCAAGTGACGCTGTTACCCATTACAGGAAGAACCAGTTGAATGGGGAAAGGCTGACCTGGAATTTCAATTGAGTCTTGTAGATTCGTAAATTTTAAAATAACTTTATTAATCACTTTGTCATTTAAATTCATCATAGATTGGGTTAAGCATCGGTTTTTCAGTTCTTTGCTGGTGAATTCAAATGATATAAACCAAAATGAAAAGAAGGATAATTTCTTGAGCAGCATGAAACTCTGCATGGTAATTAAAGGCCTTGTAATATAACTCATAACCCCGCAGCGCTTCATTTCTACCGATTCACTTAATTACAGATGTACTTTTTTCCACACCAACTCGTGTCATTTCACAATCAGAGAAGCTCGTGAACTGCTAATAAATTTTCGTAAGGGTTCCACTGTTGTTTCCTGCTGAACCGAAGCTTGTTTTAAGGGTAGTTTCTATGAAAACAGCAATATCATCTAAGGAGACTGACGGCTACAGAAATATAGACGGATCTATTAGAATAAAAAAATTGTACATGTTTACATTAAATAACAACAGGTGAAAAAAATATCACACTTAAACGACCAATATTAAACTTGATATCTGTACAAGAGATTCGACTTTTAATTATCAGTTAAATCCTATCCCTTTTCTCCGACGTCTCTTCATCTTCCTGCCTTTTACTTTAACTGGGAAGGTGTTGTACAAAGAAAAT